TGCGATAGAAAGGACGGTTCTTGCTGTCTGCCAGTTGAAGACACAGCAGATGTCACGATGACGATTATGCGGCGAGAACGATTCTCGGTAATATAGAGCCGTATTTCGCACTCAAAACGTTTACGGTTGTGCGAATTTACATGATAAATTCGTGCTTTCTCGACAGCTCTGGCACGATGAAAAAATGCAGTCTCATTTCGAGGATCCGGTTGAATTATCGCGCGCAGATGAATTTGGACCGCGTCTGGAAAAATTGCATTTTTTCACGTAAAACAGGACGTAATAATATTAGTTTCTTCTTTCGAGAGATTTTTATAACTCTTCATAATTTATATCTTTTTTAGATCTTTATAATTTATAAGCCATATTTATAACATCAATAATATTCGTGAGGTTTTTATTATTTTGAAATAATATTGCGCTAACATTGATACTAACAATAAGTAATATATAGGATAATAAATATTAATAATATATAGTATAATAATAATATATAGGATAATAAATATTAAGTAATGTATAGGATATTTATATGTGAATAAATCGCGTGTCTCGCGCGATCGAGGAACCGCTTCGATCGCGCCCAAAGGATGTTTCGGATGAAGTTTTAATCGCCGGTCATTATCACGACTAACGCAAGGATGAATCCTTGGCATTTGGGGTCCAAGGTTCTGCGATGCCGACGAGGCACCGCTTATTATACGGCGCTCGTGAGTCATGCTATGCGGCATTGCAATCGCAGGATACCTCACCGAGGCGATCTCAGGGGGAAGTGAAGGGCCCGAATTGCCGACATTGTAAACACGCCTGTTAAGCCGCGCGTATGCGAGTCAAGAATGAAGCACGAGCCTGGCGCCTCTTGACGCGCTTAATCTCACGCGAGAAGGCAATACATATCTCGATACTGAAATATCGTTGCTTCGATTTGGAGTATCCGTTGCCTTTAGTATCCCTATGACTTGGATATGGATGCCCTGCATTCATAGCATGAACATATATCGACATATATCGATCTATATAATTCGTCGTTTTGAAAATCTTTATCCCTTCGATTATATGTATTGGCGATATGAATACACGATGTTTCGATGAAGCATAGAAGGTATCGAGTAACTGTTAGATTGAAGCAGCCTCTTGTCAAGAGGAGATGCATACCAAGCCATGTTATTTTCAAGATTTTTAAGAAGATTTTCTTTTTGCGATTTGCTATTAAATAGCACAGGCTTTGACATGTATGCCATCGACGAATCTTCAGAGTCTGCTGAGAGAGATAATTCTTTTGAGATTCACGAGCTTCTAAGAAGTCGCGTCGAAAAAGACGCTAGATCTCTTCTTAAGATTCTGAGTCTTGAAGGTATTTTATGACTTATTATGTTTAAACGTAGAGAGAGAGATTAAAATTTGATATATTTTTATACATCTTTTATTAAAAATAATATTATAAAATATATATTTAATAAAATATATAATATATAATATCTGTATATAATAAAAAAGGTCATTTAATCCAGGGGATAATTACACGCATAAATGAACTGCTGTGATAAGCTTTGCTCGGTGATGCGAGTAATGTTACGATAGCGTCGTCAATTAATCGATTAGCGTTGCTTTGACGCCTCTCGATGACTTGTGATTATTGAGTACTTCACGTTCGACATTTGACTTGGTCAGGGCGAAGGGCAGCGTAGTCGCCACGATACGTGCAATTTAATAACGCTCGGCCTCTCGGCCTTTGTCCTCTTCAGATTTAATGCTTTATCGATTCTCTTTGGAATGCATCATCCGTAATGTTCCACTTCGAATTCCGTTTGCTGTTTCCCATACCACATACCTGTCGTACCACATTTATATAGAGACAAACAGATCGCAGATTGTCCCTAGAATTGTATTTTTGTGTCATGTTTTTACCGTGCTCACTTAAAATATAAAAAATATTTATTTCATATAAAATATAATATTTCATATAAAATATAATATTTAGATCAATATTTGGAGTGATCTTTATTTCGCTCGCAGCAGCGCAATTTTCGCGATGATGTATACTTCGAAAGTTAATCTCCCGCGATGATAAATTTACTCATCGCTACGGGGAACATATCAATTGACAGGGATGTGCGATATCGGCGCCGAATACATCGTGAATTCGTCCAGTACGCAAAAACGTGGGCGCACGATGAGCTTAGTTAATAAGCACATTATTATTATAATAATAGCACGCCTATAAAAATATTTCACTGAATATTAATTGAATAAAAATTGCGTGATAAAAAAACTAAAAATTCATATATCGCACGTATATTTACATACGAATATATGAATGCACGCAATAAAACGCATTCAATTATTACATTTTTTTGACCGTTTATATTTAATAAAGTCACATTATTAATTGCACGCGTGCATGATAAAATATAATTATATGTTTGAAATCAGACAATATATTATATATATTATATTTATATATATTATATATATAAATATATTTATATATATTATATTTAATTAAATATATGAGTTTATAAATGGAAAAAATCATATTCCAACTTTATAATTATTGAATATTGACTTTATATTACATTTTTTGCAATAAACAATAATAATAATAATAATTATTATTATTAGCAATCATTAGTATTATTACTATTATAATTGTTATAGTTATATGTATAATTTCCAAAAAAATTTATAAGCCCACTTATTCCATTTTTCTAATATTTAATTTTTAATATATAATTCCATTTTTCAATTCTGCAACTACTTTGAGTTCTCTTTTTTATTATATGCGAGAATCTATAATAATAATAAATATTATCTTAATATATATACATTTATATTTTTTAAAGGAAATCTTCCTAATTTTTTCAAAAAATAATTTATTTTTTCTTTAATGTCTAATATTTAAGGTACACACAAAATGCAATCGTCTCACACATACATTGCATACTATTCATTTATACACACTGCATGCTATTCATTTCCTTTTCATATCAAAAGATATCCATTACGTGGAATTTTTTTCTGTGGTTTCTTCTGCTCTCGAAAGCATAAAGTCCAAGAATGATCCATCCGCAATCCCTAGCTTTGCAGGAAATATTGGTCGAACTTCCATATGGCATGGTTTAAAATATTTCAGATATGACTACTGCTATCCCCTCCTCCCCCAAGTTTATTGTAGCCAATGTGTGTGTGTGTGTGTGTGTGTGTGTGTGTGTGTGTGTGCGCGCGCGCGCGCGCGCATGTGCGCATATCGTCTTGTCGAAAAAATCGCCAATAAAATCTGTGCAAAAAGGTACTAAAAACAAAATAAAATCAAATAAAACAATATTAAAATTTTACATACACAACAGTATCATTAAATTAGTTAATAAATTACTAATAACTTTCCAATTAAACTATTATTAATTTTTTAATTAAATCTATTATAAATAAAAAATATAGCAATATACTACAAATATGTACATATTACGGAATTATGGTACTTTTATCATTTAAAGAGATTAAGTACAAATTTAATATTAAAATATAACTGTTATTGGAATTATTATATAAATTGTAGAATTTATATATAAATTCCAAACTCCATAAGAATAGATTTTCAAGTTGTTTTACTAATGTAATAGAAAGTATATTGTATCGTAAAAAGATAATATAATCATTTCATAATATTACTTGCAATATTATTTCGATAAAAATATACTACATTTTTCACTGTTATGGTAGCGATAAAGGAAAATGTTTCTCACGCGTAAACTAAAAATTATACGAACTATTATACACGACAATGTTTCTGCTAAATACATTGATATCCTCTTAAACATTTTGTCAACGTCGTCAAATATATTATGGATAATGCTCGATTACATCTCCGAATCTCTTCCTGCATTATTACTTTTTCCCGTTTAGGGTATCCTCAAGGCCGTAGGGTAAAACAATGTTATACTCTGACGAAGCAGTCTTCTTATGATATTTTCTTTTATATCTGTTTTATTTCACGCATCGATGACCGTTGGTGGTGCCAAAAAAAATGCCTTTCGTGTGACAGTGTGCGCTATAAAAATCATATCTGTCCATCTCATCTACCCTCTGGCGCCAAAAATCCTCGACGGAGTTACGTGATTGATGATGCATCGAGGAAGTTAGGCAGGGATCTCTTTTTCTCCGAAAGAGAAAATTTAGAAGATTCATCCAATTAAATCTTTTTTTATCATCATTATTCGCTCTCTGTGTAATTTATTTTAATCATCATTTATTAAAAATGATAAAAGTTAGACGTTGATAATATTATTACAATAACATAAGTGATAAATATTACTCTGATATAATTATTATTAATATTATCATTTTAAAAATTAATTTCGTGTGATTTTATATTTCTATAAGATTTACATTTTAGTGTCATGTTTTTATCGTGCTCACTCAAAAATATTTACTTCATATCCTATAAAATGTAATATTTGGATCAATATTTGAAGCGATCTTTTTTAACATTTTTGTGTGAGTTTATATTTCTTAAGTATTTAAAAATTTAATATTAAAAACAAAATCCAAGATATAATTAAATATCTTAATAATGAGCACTGATTTTGCTTGTTTAACTATTTTTGCTCATTTCCATTCAATTGATATAATTATATGTTATTGATATATTGATATAATTATATATTTTCATGCATGTGCGTGTGAATTAATAATATAACTTTACTAAATTAATACAAACGGTTGAGAAAAACACAATAATTGATTGCGTTTTGTGTTGCATGCGTTCATACGTTTGCACGTGAGTATATCTCTCTCATATAATATGTGAATTTCAAATTTCATTTTTAATTTTTTTTCATATAACTGCGATTTTTATTGGATTAAATGGAGCATTACAGATATAATAATACAAATTATAATGTGCTCCTTAACTAAAGCAACTAGTGATAAACTAATGAAAAAGTATTTTTCTTTTTTGAATTATACATATCAAAGCATGCAATTATATATTTTCGACTTACTTGAAAGGAAGAGATCCTGGAGGGCCTGGGCAGCCTGGCAAAGGAGAGCCCATGTTTCTGCAGCAGCGAGTCCTGTGCCTCGCAGGGTAAGAACATCCCCTGCTACCACCGCGAGTCCTGGGACTTCGATCACGTCCGTTGGCATTCTGTGAATGAAACAATGTGTTAACATAGTACTTCATAATTAATAATTCAAATTTATATGGAAATTAATTAATCACATGAATATTTCTTGGGCAGTCTTATAATAAATTTTGTAACAATACGAATTAAAAATATCAAGCGAGATTGTTGGGCAAAAATTTCGATACTGGGTCTTGTGTTACTTTGCCTTACAGGATGAACATAGCAGGAGTGACGAAACGGCAGCATTGTATTTCGTAGCCTGTGTCTCGAATAAACAAATAAGCAAACAAGCCAGGGCGTACATATTGAAGGTATCGGGCTTGTTGCTTGCTCAGTCTCGTTTATATTAGCACCTTTGTTAGTCTGTTATATGTCACCATATTTCAATTATTTTATAAATGTTACATTCTTTCATTTTCCAACAGCATTATACATCATATAAAGTAGTATGAAAAAATCTTGATTGCAATAAAAGATTTATTAGTATACATGATACACTTTTATCAAAAAGAGAATAATATTTATGTTTAATATTTTTTTTCCATCCCAAATTGACGTAAATATGATTTTGGCAAGATTGGTTTGTTGAATTAAATAAAAAATATATTCTTCTAATTTATTAATATATTATTTTACATTATATTTTTTTTTAAATGACACTTTCCTTTCTCAAAAATTATTTAGAAAAATTATTATCAAAATGTTGTATATAAAAAAGTTTGATGTAGCTTCGTGAAAGTAGGATATATAAAATTTAAATAGTTTCATAAATAATGCTTTCAAAATGGACAACTAAATATTTATAGAATATTTTTTAGAGGCTAAGAAGAAAAATTAAGATATGTGCAAGTTTATCGATCGAAGGTGAAAATTCCACAATTTTCCGTAAATTTATTTTTAAGTCGAAAGTCGCTGATGTCGATGATGCGACCGTGTGATTCTTCTTTGTGTCTGTCTGCATACAAACCTAGCTGCCGCGAATCTCGACGTCATATGCACATCCCGAAGAACAATCAACAGATATACCGTCGTCAGAGAAAACAATAGCCGTCAACTCCATTTTCAGCGATGTTCTCCTTCGCGACTGCTCTTTCAAGCAAAGTAATGCGGGCTATCGTTATCTGCCCTTCGTTTCCCGCTAATTTTCTGTTCGTGTTATGAGAAAAAAGCTTTAGTAGCTTGTACATGTTTGTGCAACGCGTTGGTCGTGTTTGCAGATTGCAAAATTTAATTATTAAAATTATAAAAATTTAATTGTTATTTGAGTTATTTTACATGAAAAATAAGCGCGATCATTATTATTTAACATTCAAATTTAACATTAAAACATTATTATTTAAATTTTATGTGAAAATGATATAAAAACTCTGAAACTTTGGAATATATCTATTTTTTCATAAAGAATTTATTATTATTACTATTATAATTATTATCGCTAAATTGATAAAAATATCTACTTCAAAATTTCTCATTGGAAGATTACTTTTCCTAATACAAAACGTTTACTTAGTATATCGAGAAGTTCGATAGACGGTCAGCACGTGCATGCAAGTTTCAGATTATTGAGTTTCCCGCAAGAATAGACTTCAGAGATAGCTCAGTGTTTTGATATATATATATATATAGTCTTGTGGGCGTTTCGCTCTTCTGCACTTTCTCGCACTTCTAACTTAGCCAGCTGCGATTGTCCTTTCTATTATGCGGTGATCATGGTCGCGAAATTTCCGCTTGAATGAAAATGCGCTTCTTCGTTTTCTCGCGCAGAGAAGGCAATACTATTCTGCAGTAACTTCGTTCGATGTTGTACTCGATATTGAACTTTGCGAACAAACTAGTTAATAAGGAAAATAATTGAAACTGCAAACTCTGTCAATAAAATACTCTATATAATGTGGAGAAAATATTGGATGGATAAGTAAATTTCCGCTATTTTTTAAAAAAAATTCAATGTTTATTAATAAATTATACATGTATAATTCAATCAGTAATTCCCACCATTTTTCATCATTTTCTTCCATCTATCAAGTAAGTTATAGATTCCGGATTAATAAAAAGTCTGAATTAAATTTTATAAAAAATAGTAGAAAACTTACTTATACACTTAATAACTTTTTAATAACTTATACACTTAATAACTTTTTGAAGTAACAAATCGCACGCTCGTTTTATCATTTTTTTGCAAATTTTTATTAGATAGATTGTGTGACATTTTTTGCAATTTGTTCAATGGATATATGACTATTGCTATGACTCTAATTGTGATTAGTTCCATAACAGGACGGCTGTCAATTTACAGCCCGTCCAACTTTATTCGATCAGGTGCGATCGTTCGCTTCACCGACATGTATTACGAAGTTATCGCAGAAATTTCTCATTTAGCGTTCACGCATTCGCACTATTTACAAGCGGTTCCGTTAACAAAGTTATAAATTAAACGCAATCCTCCAGGTGTAACTTCCCTGTAGTAATTAAGCAGTAATTAAGACAACGCATGATGCAATTATAATCGCAATTATTTACAACATGTAATAACTTGATTCAGGTCTATTTCGATTGTGATTTGTTTCATCTGATGACACTTACACGTATCTATCGTATATTATTTTCAAATTGTTTCGAATCAATGAACCGTCGTAAAATATATTGATTTGTTCGATGATGGATATTCCAGTTCGTACATCCTGGAGTTTAAAACAGCAGATTGTGACAGTAAAATTTATTGCGAATATTGTCGTTTGTCTGGGGTAATATTAATTAATTTTCTTTTACTTATTAGTCATTTTTTTACTCAATATTATATTATCAACAATAATGCCATTTTTATATGTATGATATCTTTAATTTTTTCGAATTCTTTATTTAGTTCCTTTTATTCTCTAATTTTTTTAGAGTACGAATTTATATCAGCTTAAAAAATCATTTTATAATGAGATCTTACTATTTACAGTATTCTGACGTAATTGAATTATTCCAACATTAACAGACAAATAAGTAATATAATAAAAAAAGAAAATTCAAATATATTTTTTTATTATAGAGAATTACACATCACGCGCTTCTTTTTACTCTTATTTTATCCTTATCGACACTCGCTGAAAACTTAGTGCATTATCCAATTTGAAACTTTTGGCTTTCTTTAATATTATTGTTTGTTCTTCCTTGTACACTGTGTATTAAGTCTGATTTTTCTCGGCAAGTACTGAAAAGAAACTTCGCTGAAATATTAATTTTCCGCGACAAATATTCTGTTTTGCGAAGCTGGGCGCCGGTTTTCCGCGAAATCAACTAGCGATAAAGGAGAACGTCGAGGAAAATTAACGAGCCAATTCAGATAATGGCGTTAAACTCTTCATTGTTACGTAGCAAACAAACAAACAAACAACGCAAGATCGAAAAGATTAGCTAATTCTTAACTAGATAATTTATTCTATAAAAATGCATGTTTGTTTTTCATATATTTTATTAATATTTATATTTTGGTTGTCACATATATTTATTAAATTTATCACTGATGTAATTCTAGATTTTCTTAATTTTATAAAGTTTATAATTTTTTTAAAGTAATTTTTCTTATTTTTTTATTTTTATAATATACGATTTGTAATTATTAACGTTATAGGTACAATTTTAGATATACGATGAGATTTTAGATATAATAGATTTTTCAACCAAGCTTCGAATGTAACTTATACCAGATTTGATCGCGTTCTATGCATATATTAGTATTCTCAAAATATAATGGGTAAACGTGCAACCACTCGTGCAACTTGGTCTCCTTTTATGCAATGCCCAAAGCAGAACATGAGCATAGAATTATGCAATATCCGAATTCGGTCAGTATAAAGAGGCAACCTTGGGTGCTTTTGACAGATTCGATATTTTATCCGGGTTCCGATAATCGCTTTTAGCTAATCAGATGTGCATTGAATATTCCATTTGTCGTAACGTTTCACTGAGCAGCATTATTAATTTTCGTTACTATTGCGTTATTTCTAAATCGTTAAATCTGGTATTTCTCCGGTACAGAGACATTATAGAAGACAAGGAAAATACGCGTATAAATGAATACACTCGTTACGAGTAATCGCGAAAGCAGGGCTTTAATTAACGGACAATCGGTTAACATTGACAAGCGGGAGCCGCTGCGATTCCGCATGATTTAATCAGGATGCCAATTAAACTGTACGATGTCCAACGCGCGGAAAGTTCCATTCGCGCTCGTAATCGGATAAGCATTGTGCGCGCATGTGACTTTAGCGTTTTCAAATCGAAAACGTCAATGAGACAATTCGGTCGAGATATATGATACTTTTGTGTAACGCAGTTTTGTGCAATACAGTTTGGAAATTGATTTTCGGATATGGAACGGTTCATCGATTATTCATGAATCGCGTCGAGAGGCCCAGCCAGTCGATATCGCAACATGACAGGATATCTCGCGGATAATCAGCTGGCATGCAGTCGCGCGTTTCGCAGCCTTCCATACTCACCTTACACATTGTCGATCGGCGTATCATAGCGCGGCGGCGTCCGCGCCGTGATGATCTCATGTGGCGCGAAAGCATGCGCTCGAGTACCCGGCAGATAGTATACGAGACAGGAGACCCCGACGAGAAACAGGAAAAACAGGAACACGAGATCGAACATCAGCAGGGAGTTCAAGGTCATCAGCTGCATCGTGCGCGTGCAACTCGCTCCACCATTACACGCGTGCACCCACGCACCGATCAACTCGCCTGCTATCACTACCCTTCCTCTCTCTTTCTCCCTGCTTATTCCATCACGTGCCTCCGGACTTCTTAATTTGCTCGAGACTTCTCGCGAGTCTTCGACGCTCGATGTTTAACGTGGATTAAAACGGTTCCACTTAACTGCGAACGTAGCAATCGCCAATTTTCCGTAAACATTTATACAAGTTGTTATATATGTTATATAATTGTTATAGACGATGATTCATTTTAATCTTAACAGGCAAATATTTTGAAAAATATGCGAGATACGAAAAAATGTTTCAGACAAAATTATATGGTTTTAAAGGAGACATAAAATGGTGCCATTAGTTTGAAGAGTCACCTGAAGATCACGTCCAACTTTTTAAATGGGACACCCTATATGTTTTTACATATTCTTGTAGCTCATCGCGAGAGCTTTCCAAAAAACTATAATTAAGTTAGTTTTCATTAAGTATTCTCCGAGGCTTGAAATCGTATTTCTTAATTTTACATAAACCGTAAAATATCTTGTAAAATATTCATCTTTCGATTATCTTACCTTAATACTTTTATGTACAAAATAATGAGAGGAATTAATCGGTGTAAAGAAAACACATAGTTGTTTCGAAAAAAATATATAATTGTTAATTGCAAATTAACCATATAATTTTTGTCTGAAACATTTTTCGTATCTCGGATATTTTTCAAAATATTTGCCTGTTAAGATTAAAATGAATCACCCTGTATATTTCTTTTAATTGTTTTACAACTTTGTAGGATACAGAAAAATTTATTATTTGTATATCAATTTAAAAAAAAATTAATCCTGAAAAAAATTTCGTGGAACAAATGTAACATTGAGAAGTATTCTTCATTTCATTAGATTACATCGGTGTTAATATTCGTCCTGGTAAATTTGGAGCGAAACGCTTCGAATGCAATAAAGTTTTTATTAATACACGGTAGAAAGCAATTAGTGAGCAATCAAAAGTATACGTTGGTGGAACACTGTAAACGAGAATGAAAGTAATGGGACAGTTTTTGTTTTTTTTACAATAGAACTCGATCCTTTTCCAAACTAACTCGCCTTGCAATTTTGCGACTATTGACGATGAGAGTGCGCCGACGGCAACGAGGTAATTGGATTTCCCACGAATTATTATCAAAAGTTATCAAAGCCAGTCGCGTCGGAATCGGCGAGTCGCACGTATTATTATCGCCATATCGTAGAAATGCACGTAACTATATTAATTATGGATACTTTCGCGCCGACATAAACGAGGAAATAATTAGTCTCATTATCGATTTCATTTATCTAAACGAATTTCGCTGTTCGAATAGCGACTCGCATCATTTCAATGTATAAAATTATCATTAATCCCTTTAACTTACGTATAATCCGCGTACGATTAGCTTTATTCTACCAAACTCGTCCGATATTTTATGCGATTCGTCCGATAATGGAAATATCCGCGCAATTGTAATATTCATCTAATTCGTTATAAACTGCTCTCGGAAACTTTCCTTTATGAATAAGTAATCTTGAATATTCGATATCGTGATAATGTGTCTTCAATTTAAAATTGATGATTTATATTTTTTAAATTGTTTTCTTCTCCATAAGAGTCTCACTTCGACAATTCTATCAATTGAATTTTTTTCCAATGAACGAGAATTAATGATCTTTATAATCTGATAAATATATGGCATTGGTGACATTTCGATTTTATTGATTATATACTTCTCCGTACGCTCTATTTCGAGATAATTGCCACTAGGATTTCGTGAAAAAGACGATAAGTTAAAAACAGCTCAAGGGTTTATTCAGCTCGTTCAGTTGATATAAGTCTGATGAAGTGAGAAGCTCTTTACTCGATCTTTTTTTGGCACAATAGCCACGAGTAATTGGTTGAAAACGCTAACAATACGGCGGAAAGAGAGGCGCTTTAAGAACAGAAGACAATGAACAGATCGATTAACAATTAGTTGCAGTTTTGAGCTAAAGTATGTTCCACATTGTATTGAGAATTATTTGACTTGGAAAATATAGATCGTGTATAACGCTCCACAAGATTTAAATTGCGACATAAAATGAGCAAAATTGTATTATTTGCATTCACGAAGAGAAATTAATGCATAATTTATAAAGCCAGAGAGATTCGTATTTAATAATAAAATATATTTTTCAATCCATCTTCTTTATGCTAGATTTCCACGTGGTTCACGACAGAATTACGATATCGAAAAAATTCGGAGTTTTGAGTTTAATCTCTCGTTTTTTTCCCCCAATCGACTCCGTCGAGTGACCAATCGTGAACAAAGGATTGCCTGCATCGACATGTCTACATGCGGTCGAGTGATTTTCCAGTTACGCAAATTTTCCAGTATCCGCCGGGCCCATTCAATGGGTCTCGCCGATGCGCCGACTACCGGCGGAAATTTACGGGATGACATAATTTCCGTGCAGCCCGATGCGCCCAAAAGGCGACCCTCATCCTTGCATCAATCGTCCATCCGTTCTTCGGAATATTCAGGAAAATTCGTGAATCATTGATTACGGAAACGCGAGAATCGTAAAATATCTCGATCTTGTGCTTTCGGCAATTTTTTTGTCATATTCGTTATCTCTCTCTAACGAGAAATTATCATGGATTAGAAATACTTGCTAAAATAAATGTGTATTTTTTGAAATGTTTTGAGAAATAGATGTATAAAGTTTGTGCTTATAATTCCTAATTATATTCGTATGGATGTAGTGAATAAAGATAGAATTAAAATAATGAAACGACTCGAATTTTTTGTATCGAGTCTAATTTTTTCGCGGATTTTCACATACGTCATAAATATTTGTACAAATTTATTATACTTTAAAATGTATAAAAATGGATTTATTAGAAAGCTTATATATTTAAAAAGATTTTTTTATTATTCTAATCATATTTGTTTGATTCATGTCTTAGTTTTTTTTAAACAATGTAAAATCTTTTATAGAGAATAAAAAAGTAATAACTCAATAACGCTTCAAATTAATTTCGAGATATTATTAATAAAATGCGAAAGATCTTCATTAGTCGACATACCTCATTACTATCAAAAATCGCTCGCGTTTAATAAAACTTCAATAAATAAATTATTTTCGCTTCTCTTTTATTACATTACATTCATGATTATATTCAATCTGATGCAAAGATTTCATTTGATTTTAATAAAAATCAAAAATTCAACTATTACTTAAAGCTTAAGACTATTATCTTTATTTGACTAATGTACATATCTTCACACTTTAAGAGAAAATTACATTTCTTCGTTTTACATTATTTTTCTATATTCTTTTAGCTTGGCTACAATTTATTGTTGAAATTATTAAACTAAGAGAAATGTGAAAAAGTAAAAACAATTTTTTTTTAAATGTAACGTTTCCTAAAAAAATCTACAAATGATTAAGAGTTACAGAAAGTTATCATTTTTGTTTATCTCTAGAAATAAAATAATAATGATATTTTTTTCAAATTAATTTTAATTAACTTTTATAAAATAAATTTATCGTGATAAAATATCGTAATAAAATATGATCGTGTATACAAAAATCAAAAGATAAAATCGTAGCCGCAAAATAAACATTCTTTCTTTCATTCTATATAAATCCTTTTTATTCTCTTCTTATCTTATTTGCGAAGTTATTCTCTCTAAAAGAAGAAAATTCTCACAGAGAGATTGATAGAAGCAATGCGGCTACGATATTTACTTTTCAACGATATATCTTCTTCAAGAGCATAATAATTGTTCACTTTCGTACACAGTGATAATTTTTTTTCGTGTAAATCTGCCTTTGTTAAAAATTATTAAAAGTTTGCTAATAAAATTTAATCTTGTTCGAAATAATACAATTATTCTATTTCAAAAATATATGAAAACTCATTTAATAATATTTGCGTCTCGAAAATATGATTCTAATTAAAATCTTTTGGAATCTTTAAAATTATATTCAGATCTTTTTAATTGTTGATATAACAAATGAAAATTGAAACGATAACGATTTTGTCATTTTTATTAATTCTGATCAAAAAAATTATCGCAAACATTTTTTCGCATAATTTAATTCCACTATGATGCAGTACATTCCTGCAAATTAACGGAAGCTAAATAAATAGAAATATTAATTTTGTTTAAAAATTATTTTTCCGGAAGTGAAATTCCGTGATAATATTCTCGTAAAAGATTCTTCTATAAATCACATTATTTCCGCAGAGCCTGATCGATCGGCTCGAAGAATCGATTCATCCAAATTCCCCTAAACTCTTGTCCGCTTTGTACGATCATTCCCGAAAAACACGACACCTCCTTTCATCTTTTCCGATAAAGATTTATTTAGTTCAGCAAAAATGCCGACATGTTTTTTTATCTCCTATCAACAACGGTAATATCTATTTTTCTTTCCCCTTCCCTTTGTATTAAATATGAATGAGAAATCAAAAATAGAAGAGAACGAGATAAGAAAAATTTCTATAATATTTTGCAAACGATCATGAATATAAAAACAAACAAATAGACATTGTTTACGAAGTGAAACTTTCACCTGCACAATCGATTAATTTCTATTCGAAAAGCTCATCTCTCTTTCTCTCTCTTTCTTTCTTTGCAAAATGCTCCAGTTATGCATGCTGTTGCGCTTCTTCGCGCAATTTGCACATTTGATCTTTATTCTTTCTTTTTTTAGCTTTTAATTCCGCATGCAATGCGAGACTTTATTCTCCCAGTCCCTCTCTAACGAATTGCAACTATACATAATACATAGAAATGTCATCTGAAAAATATTGTTTCCGACAGACTCTTATTTTTCATTTTTTTGAGTAGATAGGTTTTTTGATAATTAAAATTGAATATTCTAAAAAATGTATTTCGAAAGAACAAATGGGACATTTTTATTATAAAGGAAAGTTTATGAATGGATCGAGGAAATTAATTTCATTTCTCCTTCTCCCTTTCTTATTAAGTGTAACTTACATATTTGATAATTAACTATTGCTATTCTTGTTGATTGCCAATTCTCTCTCCGATATTTAGTCGATCTTTTTGGTAGTTTTTTCCCGTAAGTTTGTTGTATCTTATTAATCTCGCTAATCTTTTTTCAGTCATTCTTTCTATGTTCTTATTCTATT